TTAAAACAGGAATCTTATGGAAGAAGTGGCTCCAACATGATTATATACCTCCAGACGATCGAGAAGCCAGCCCAAGCGGAAGGAAGGGTCGGCTTCTGTAGCGGGGATGTGCCAAATAGGAAAGTGAACCAGGGCAGGAAGGAAAGACCGAACGTTTAGGTCATGGTTTTGAGGCATCAGCACCCAACCGGCCCAAAAGCACAATGTAGGCGCCCATAATAATGGAATGGGAAATAAAAAAGACAAGCAGTCTTGAGACATTGACCATGCAACATCTTACAGCATCTCCCTGTTCAGGGATTCATCAACACCGCACAAACCCCTCTTGAAGTTTTACTCCACCTGGAAGTCCCCAGGCGTTCGGTTTGGTCCCACAGGTTGTCCCTGGCGATGTCTCTCGCATTGTTGCTAACTTCAATCTGGCTTTGAGGCAAGGTTCAGACGGCTTCCCACGATTGTCCCCATGGCTGAGCCATACCACCCGCGTTCTTAGCTTGAATTCCAACTCCCCTGTCCGCAGTCGTACATGGTAGGCTGCCCCAACACTTAATGCAGAAACGCGATGGAGTGACACGAGCAGTTGATACAGATGCAGACGCAGGGCCTGAAAATCACTTCCACATTGTTTGGCCGCTCTTACCAGGGGGTCCTTCGACACGGATAGGAAACGTGGAAGCTGGCACGCCCACAGGCTTACAACCAACAGATCCAATGAATAAACGAGATCGCGGAAAAGACGCCGCACCACAGCCCGAACTGGCAACATCTGACGGCCCGCGGATGAATGCATCGGCAACTTATTGTTGTCATTGGAAAGTTGCGCTGCTGATGGTGTGGAACAAGGGATAGGGGTTGGGGGATGAAGTTGCCCACCGCGCCGGGCGGCACGGGAAATGCCCCACTTCGCCGAAGTCTCTTGCCATTGTCCATGCACTCACTTCCCATTGTTCTCCGTCTATGTGGCGCTGAACCTGGCATCTTCCAACCACCGGCACCGCGGCCAGAACCACACCCGTCGGCCGCCTGTGGACTGGGCCACCTGCTGAGCCAAGGCAATTCAGCCCGCGACCCCCATCAACAGCTCAGGCAGGCTTGACGCAAGCCTGGATGCTCTTCCATTGACCAGTTTCTTGGGGCTTCATCCCCTGCCGCATCTCCGGCCACCCCAAAACTAGCCGAAGGATGCGTCCACCACCCCGGCCGGTCACACTGCCCCTGCCAGATCACCATGTATACCACCAACGAGGATGGTTCAGTCAAACGAATAGCTGATTCTTGAGTCCTTGGTGAGCATGGGCTCTACGAATACACCAGTCACCGCGGCCAATCTCATTTCCGAAGGTAGCAGTAGGATTACTTTCCTGTTGGTGGTTTGGGTCGATTTCGGAGACTTGAGGATCCAACTTCTGTTGGAAACCTTTGGTATCGTGGGCCCAGAGACCAGGGGCCAGGACAGCCTTGTAATGGTTGGCACATTTCCAGAACTTCAACCTCGGCTGCTGGAATTCATCTTTCTAACCGTTGATCGGCATATGACATATGTAAACGCAGGTATTAGCTGTGGCTTCCATATTCAACTGCCTTGAGAGCAGGACGAGGGGCGGACATTTCCCGAGAAGAGCAAACACACGGGGCATGTGCTGCGTTCACCCGGGGCGGGTAGCCAGTATATTCTTTGGCACAAGTAGTAGTGGCGCAAATTGTTTTGATCCGATGCTGTCGGGCATTATGTCAGGTCATGTCAAATCATGTCAGTCACCTTTGCCTTTTCCATGGATGACTATCTCATAATGATGCGCGCTACAAACCCATACATGCGTGCCGTTGTGTATTCATCATTCTTTCCCCAAGCCACGCACCCTATGGAAGGTCAGACTAGAATATGCCTCCTGCTGATGTCAGTCTTTCCACGGTGACCCCCCTTAGTTGGCGCAGTGATTTGCACCTCCTCCCCTCGCAAGCCACGAGCCATAGCCAGACCCACGCCCATGCTATCGGGTCGATAGCCATATCAAACCCCAGTCCCGTCGAGAGAAACGCCGCCAAAGACCCGGGATCGACAACGGCGTGCTAGACATACTAGCGCTGGTCCGGCACCGTGCCGGGGTTGTCATACCGTCGCTTCTTCTTGCACTCGCTTACATAGGCACCCAGCCTTGGGCTCGAGTGATGCCCAAAATCCTTCCTTTTCGAGAACTTTCGACTTGTGGCTATGCAAGAGCGCCACCTGAGACCAGATAGATGCTTTGTCTTGAGCAAGCCGGAGCAACCACCTGTTGCGTGTCAGTGACGTCTCCCATATGAATGAGTCTGGCTCGAATGTAGTGCGTCGCACCGCCTTTGCTTCCCCAGTTTTCCCCGGAGAAGACTACCGTAAGGGAAGGGGTTCTCCAGCTGAGGTGTCGAGAAATGCAAACTGCCGTTCGGCGAAGTGGTACACAATGCTTGTTTGAAAGAGGCAAGGCTGCCCCAAGGCTCGTGCTGACCCGATTGTTGTTGACGCCAGACCGAGCGTGATACAAAGTCCCCGGCCGTAAATTGAGTTGTTTGGGTGGTACGAAGGTTTCTCGACATTATCATCACAGGAAGTACGACTGGAGTTCTCTTGTTGGTCCGGCTCGTGACGGTTGTACGAGCTTCAGGTTGGGTTTGGGAAAATTCGTCGTCCATCGAATTGTCATCATGCAAGGAAGGCGGTTAACGGAGGATGCTCCGGCCGTAACTCTCGATGAAAGATTTTTGAGTGTCTTTCAGTGGTCGACTTGAGGCTTTGATGCTCTTGAGCAGGTATGATGATGACGCTGGCGCTAGTAAACAGGACTGAATTCAGCTGCTGCTGCTACCGGAATATGCCACGCAGCTTGCTTTGAGACATTGACAAGTAGAAAAGCCGTTGGGTCAGCTGGACGTTTTGAAGCTCGAGTCTACGGGCTCTGGATGGATTGCACATTCATTTGTAAGTAGCTGAAAATCAGCCCCAAGAAGTCGGCCTCACTGCCTTAATCACCGAAATTAAGTTGCCGGGCCTTTAGATAGGTGGTCCACCATGTTGAGGCGGTTTGAAAGAGTGCCTTGAATGTTCTTGATAGCGGTTTTCCGCTTCTTCACCATGAAAGACATGAAAGACTGAGCATAATGGTCACCTGCCACTAACCCCCTTTCCTCTCACTTGCGCAACTTTGCGGTGGTGATAGAGGTAGCTGAACTGCTGCTCATTTTCGCCTTACCTTTCATTTGTCCTACCCTTGGAGTGCACTTATGCATTCTTAATAAAGCCATGATGTCTTCTACGCGATGGGCAACGAGCAGATATGCTTACATATCGGAAGTTTTCCTTCAGAATATCTAGGGCCGGCCTTGAAACATTTCTTGCCCTAAATCTGCGTCGTCACGGCCTCGAGCGACTTTGCAAAGATTTCTTAATTAGCTAGTCGAAGGCTTGCCCTGGGACCGCTTTAGAGGAGATTCGAGGGCGGTAAGGGGTGCTGGACTGGCCTTCATGAATGACTCAACTCTAAGCTTTAGTATGCCTAGACGTAGATATCAGTGGAGGCGTACGACAGCCCGAGTTCCACCAGATATCGAGATAGTGGCGCATATATAGGCCACATCCCAAAAGCCATCACAAACTTGTCCAGACGTCTCTGCGAGAGTACCCCACGCGGAGCTGACTCCGATTGACCAGAGCTCAGACCAACATACATTCCGAGACCGTCCACCCGGATGGGCTAGACGCAACAGTTAGCAGCATGGCGTGCGCTATGCGTCATGCCGTTGAGAGGAGAGAGACTGCCTAATTTTCCTATACTAGAGCAACTATTTTCCCTGTAGTTGTGTATGTACTAGCTAGTATTGTCGTCCCTCGTCGTCGTCGTCGTCGTCCCTCGTCGTTGTTGTTATCGTCCCTCGTCGTTATCGTCGTCGTCGTCGTCGTCCCTCGTCGTTGTTGTTATCGTCCCTCGTCGTTATCGTCGTCGTCCCTCGTCGTCGTCGTCGTCGTCGTTGTCCCCCGTTGTCGTCGTTGTCGTCCCCCGTCGTCGTTGTTATCATCCCTTATTATTATTGTTATCGTCCCTTGTTATTATTATTATTGTCCCTCGTTGTTATTATCTACTGTTATTATCTACTGTCGTCCTTAGTTAGAGTAACTTAGCTATTTCCCCTATAGGTGTGTATATACTAGCTAGTATTGTCGTCCCTTGTTGTCGTCGTCGTCGTCCCTCGTTGTTATTGTCGTCGTCCCTCGTCGTCGTCGTCCCTCGTCGTCGTCGTCCCTCGTCGTCGTCGTCCCTCGTCGTCGTCGTCCTCGTCTACTGTCGTCGTCTACTGTTGTCGTCTACTGTCGTCCCTGGTCGGAGTAACTTAGTACACGGGAAACATAGTACCTCTAGCACAGGAAAAATAGACACTCTCCGGGCGCATCACGTCGTAGGGAAATGCAGCGCGAGGTATCCGAGAATCTCTCTCTATTTGAGTAGCCAAATGGTCTACCTCTCTACAAACCTCCCCATACCCATAGAGGCGCCAGAAGGCGTATTCCCTTTCACTCAGCTCCAGCTATTGTCACATAACCGCAAGAGATGGATCAGCTAGAAAATCAGGCAAGAAAGGATGTTGAATTGCTTGCGACTGCGAAAGAGGTTTTGTGACCTCATGCTATTTCTATGGAGACAAAAAAACAAGAACGAAACCTCCGACAAGTCCGGCAGCAGAATGCTCCCGTATGATAACCGTGCAAAAAAAACACCGAATTCCCGTCCACACCGGATTTTTGCGCAGCGCCTGGTAAGACATGAACTTCTACCCCGTAAGACCTCGTGTTGCCTTTACCCGCAAAGGCTTGAAACCGGGATTCGTTGAGAACCGTACGCCATATTTGAGTGCCTGTCCGCATGAACATCAAAATCATTATACACGTCTAGGTCGTTACATGCAGGAAGCTTGTTGAAGGAATCCTGCTCGGTTCAGCGCTGCCATGATGACGCGTCACCTCAAGCCGCTTAGAACTTGAGGGCCTTAGGCTGCTCCCAGGTGAAGGTCTGGTTGCTACCGAAGTGGCCGTTCTTGGCGGTCTGGAGGTAGATGGGGCGGTCCAGGCCAAGCTCGCGGACAACAACACCGGGGCGGAGGTCAAAGTTGCTGCGGATGATCTGGACGAGCTCGTCGGAGGTCTTGTCAGAGCTGCCGTAGGTGTCGACGTAGATGGAGAGGGGCTCAGCAACACCAATGGCGTAGGAGAGCTGAACGAGCGCACGGCGGGCGAGGCCGGCAGCGACGAGGGACTTGGCGATCCAGCGGCCGACGTAGGCAGCAGAACGGTCGACCTTGGAAAAGTCCTTGCCGGAGAAAGCACCACCACCGTGGCCACCCCAGCCACCGTACGTGTCGACAATGATCTTACGGCCGGTGATGCCGGCGTCGCCCTGGGGACCACCGATGACGAAGCGGCCGGAGGGCTGGATCTGTGGGAGGGTTAGCGGCTGCGAGTGAAAGACATGGCTGAGCGTTACTCACAAGGTACCTCGTCTGGGCGTCGAGGTACTTCTCGGGGATGACCTTCTTGACGATCTTCTCCATGATTTCCTTGCGGAGTTGCTCCGTATCAATCGTCGCCGAGTGCTGAGCGGAGATGACGAGACAAGCAACTCTCAGAGGGACCACAGCGCCATTGTCGTGCTTGTACTCAATTGTGACCTGAGTCTTGGTGTCGGGGCGGAGCCAGGGGAGGGAGCCGTCGCGGCGGGCAGCAGCCATGGCAGCGTTGAGTCTGTGCGATAAGAGGAGGGTGAGAGGGAAGAGCTCAGGGGTCTCGTCGGTGGCGTAGCCGAACATGATGCCCTGGTCACCAGCACCGAGCTGGTCAAGTGCCAGGTCGTAATTGAGACCCTGTGCGATGTCGGGCGACTGCTCCTCGACGCCGACGAGGACGCTGATAGTTTTGTAGTCAAAGCCCTTGGAGGAGTCATCATAGCCGATGTCCTGGATGACCTTGCGGATGACCTTCTGGTAGTCGACCCGGGCCTTTGTGGTGATCTCACCAAAGACCATGATCATGCCGGTCTTGGTGGCAGTCTCGCAAGCGACCTTGGACAGGGGGTCCTCAGCCAAGCAGGCATCGAGGATGGCATCGGAAACCTGATCGGCGATCTTGTCGGGGTGACCCTCACCGACGGACTCAGACTGCAACGGAAAGGTTAACCTGGAATCGGAGATTTCCTCATCCCAGACCGCCTTGGCAGTCTGTTGGGAAGCGCGAGGAGATGCTTACGGTATAGAGGAAAGTGCCCTCGTTGTAGTGGCGGCCAGGGCCGTTGATTCCGTTGGCAGCAGACATTGTGACCGTGTGTGGTAGTCGATTGAGGAAGACGAGAAGGGGTGTATCAAAGAACAATTGAAGTTGAACGCGGAACGGTGAGGATGGTTTGGGTTGGATGATGTGTGATGTGGGAGAGAAGATTTTGCGAGGGACAGGTTCGGGGCGGTGAATATATACCCACGCGGGGCACCGAGGGGCTAGGAAGGTAGCAGGGCAGAGAGGTCCTTCTGGTTCGAGAGGTTGGCCTGCGTGGTTGCCACCGTAGAGCAAACCTGGAAGGCAATCACGGTCCGGAGAGGTCACTGGTTGCCTTGGGAGGTCAATTGGCTTATCAGGAAAGAAAGTGGAAGTGTAGTGAGGGAGGCCGTTTGGGGTTTAAAAGAAGGAACGCACCTGGGACGGCTGGGAAGCAATCGTCGCTCTCCCCTCTACCTCTGTCAAAAGCTCAAGCGGACCTGACGCACTATTCGTGGGAAACCTGCACCGAGAGCCGGAGCAGAGGGAAGGTACCTCGTAATGCATACAAGGCGAGCAGGAGGGGCAAGTACTGCATCCTGCCGACCCCTCCATCCCCACGTACCTGCCCTGTTGAAAGCCATGTCGAGGGGAGGACCCAAAATTCTCCAGATTGCGCCATCCTCACGACTTTCTCCCTTGACCGCCTTCCAGCATTTCTCTGACCCCTCTTGAGGCCACCTGACAAATGCCAGTAGACCGCTGCAAGAGCCAACAGTCACCACCAGCTTGGGGGTCCGAAGGCAAGTGGTCCTCCACCACGTAGCAGCGTGTCCGGGGCCGGCCCAGCCTCCAGCATCGGATTTACACAGTGACTGGGATGCACACCTCAACGATGTTCCTCATTCTCGTTTGCCCGAAGGAGCTTGGGCTTCCAATTGCTCAAGGTAAGACTGGCAGGCGCGGCTACTGCCACAGAGGGATGTGGCAGGAGACGGGGTGTGTGATATGTGAAGAACTCCCTTGCTGAAGTGTTTCGTTTTTTTCTGCTCTTCTCTATCAAGGTTTGCTTGCCTGTACTTGCCGTGCCGCCCCCATCAGGATCGCCTGAAGCTGAGAAGCCATCGCCCGATTGCTCTATCTAATGACAGAGTTGAAACCCTGTGGAACTCTATTGCCTTTTGACTCGCCTGATCTCGCCCTGTCACCAATGCATTGTGTTGCAGAGTCTCAGGGTCAGCAATTAGTCCAACTGCGCCGCTTCCTCTGCGCCAGAGATACACACACAAAGATCTCTTTCCTGAGGGAAATGGAAATCCGTGTTCTCCCCCAGATATGCAACGGCACGCGCCGGATGACAGGTAATACTCCAGCGTCATACAGTACTAATTGACGCAGCGTAAAGTCCCTTCCTTCAACCTGTTGGCCGTTGACTCCCTCGGCGCATCTTTCCCGCAGGACTTGCAGAACTCGCCCTCCGAGAGAACTGCGACTTTGCCCCCCCATCTTCTCGGCCATCCCTCCAATACCTCAACATGTGTACCTCTCCCGCGCATGCTTTAGCAGCAGGGGTGTAGTAGAGGGACTTGTCGACATTGTTGAGTCGTCAGACAACTGAGAAGCCCCTGTCGAAACGGAGCTAAGTCTGACGCAGAGCTTTACTGTAGCAAATCCTTAATCTGGGTGGTGAGAATGTGCCCCTCCCGCGCCTCACACGTGCGAACGGCATTGGACCGAAATTCCGCAGCAAGCCGTGTGGCCGCCCATTGTGCTCTGAGTGGGCGACCGGCGAGCAACGAGGGGAAAAACAGAGGGGAAAAAAAAGAGAAGGCCAGCCGCAGCCAGTCACCAGTCAGGTACGTAGCTAGAGCCAGCCTTATCGCAAGCTATCAATCAGAAAAAATTTCCCCTCCATCACCCAAGACCCCGGCCGCCGATTACAGACTGCATACCACATTCTTGTGCTTCAATCACGTCGTACAAGTCACGGTCTTTCCGTCCAGCCTTGCTTCACTGCCTTACCTTAGGTATACCAATTTGACCGACTCAAGGTGGCGCGCGCGAACGGCCGATCACCGCGACCCTTGACGTGCGCCCGTTCCTGCATGGCGGGGTAATCCATAGAAAAATTGCCCTCCTCCAAAACGTCCGACAGTGACTTTTTTTTTGGCCGATCCTTGAATCAGCATCAAACTTGTGCAGAGAACCGGACAGTCAACAAACTCTCTCCCACTCCCGTCCCTCCCGCTGTGCCTGAACTATCTTTCCCTTGCATTCCCGCCCGCTATCCCATCAATCTCTCCGTCTACCACACCCTTACACGCCATAATGAGCAAGTACGGCGTGATGGTCATGGGCCCCGCCGGGGCCGGCAAGGTGAGTTCGCTTCATCCCAAACACAGGTCCCTCTCCATACATGGAACACGCTCCGTGCCGGGTCTCGCAGCCACAGAGCTACCCTCCGTCCCCGGCCGGTACAGGCCGTCGACTGAGCCTCCTCTCTAGGCCCATCCCGACCCCGTATAGCTTATGCTGACGCCGTCCCCTCACAGTCCACCTTCTGCGCCTCCCTCATCACCCATCTGAACCTCAACCGCCGCTCCGCCTTCTACGTCAACCTCGACCCGGCTGCTGAGTCCTTCGAGCACGCTCCAGACCTCGACATCAAGGACCTCATCTCCCTCCACGATGCCATGGAAGAGGTCGGCCTGGGCCCCAACGGCGGCCTCATATATTGCTTCGAGTTCCTCATGGAGAACCTCGATTTCCTCACCGAAGCCCTCGACAACCTGACAGAGGAGTACCTCATCATCTTCGACATGCCCGGCCAGATCGAGCTCTACACCCACATCCCCATCCTGCCCGCCCTCGCCCGCTTCCTCTCCCAGCCGGGCTCCCTCGACATCCGCCTCTGCGCCGCCTACCTCCTCGAGGCCACCTTCGTCGTCGACCGCGCAAAGTTCTTCGCCGGCACCCTGAGCGCCATGTCCGCCATGATCATGCTCGAGATCCCCCACCTCAACGTGCTGTCCAAGATGGACCTCGTCAAGGACCAGGTGCGCAAGAAGGACCTCAAGCGCTTCCTGACGCCCGGCTCGGACCTGCTCGACGACGACCCCGTCGCGGCGGCCTCGGGCGAGCTCGATGACGGGAGGGGCGAGGTCCACGACCGCGACCTCGTCATGCGGGGCAAGAGCTTCCAGAGGCTGAACAAGGCCGTGGCCGGGCTGATTGAGAGCTTCAGCATGGTCAACTACCTCAAGTTGGACGTCACGGACGAGGATAGCGTGGGCGCCATTCTCAGCTACATTGACGACATCATCCAGTACCATGAAGCGCAAGAGCCCAAGGAAATGCACGACGATGAGTACGAGCCTCAGGAGGACAACGACGAATAAGGATCATGTGTGTTTGGGGCATTTTTTGGTCATGGAGAGAATATACCATAAGAGGAGGGGAGACGGGTCGAGAGGCGAGACAGGTCGCGACGTAGTAAAGGGACTTGGCTGCTTGCATAGCGCTGGCGTTGGTATTGATTTACATTGACTCATTCATAATCATATTCGTCTGGCAAGTGTGCCCGACGTTGCTCCTCTGTAATCCTGTGTCGCATGTGCCGTCGTCCTCGGGGCTGCGATCATGCTTCTTCGTCCCTTCATGCGGGGGCCCTGTATACCCAATTTCGAGTATCCTCCCAAAGTGACTTCCATGACACGCCGTCATCTTCACTGTCGTAGACTCGGGCGCGTATCGTCTTTCCAACATACTCTACACAAAACCCTTCCTACCGTGATACCATCTCCCCATTCACCGGAATTTCCTCCCTTGGGACTGCGTCTCCTCCTCGTATCTCTTGTACTCCGAAATCCAGACGTCCTTCACCGCGGCGGCGAAGCCGACAACCTTGCCGCCAACGACGACCGCGTCCCTCGCCGTCTCCCAGACGCCCCGCTGCACGACGGCGGCCAGCACGGCGACGACGGCGCCCCAGAAGGCCACCCTGAGCACCAGCGCCGTCCAGAAGGCGACGATGCGGCGGATCCAGTTGAGCACGACGACCGTCGCGGCCAGCAGCATCAGCAGGATGCCAAACGACACCAGCTCGGGGGACTCTTGCAGGTAGGCGAGGGTCGCGTCGACGGCCGGGGCGACGTAGGGGTAGAGCGTGTCGAAGGCGCGGCAGGCGGCGAGGACGGCGTGTTGGCGCGCGACCTGGAGCGGCGAGGAGGGGTGGAGGGCGTTTTTGTGGATGAAGTCGACGGCCTCTGGGGGCAGGAGGGAGCGGAGGACGAAGTTTGCAACTGAGGGCTCGGCCATTTTGGACATTTGTCGTGTGTGCCCGTGGATGCGTTGACGGGAGATCGGTGTGGTCGTTGCTACTGCTATCGTGGTGGTTTGTTGTTGTTTTTCCCTCTCTCTCGCCTATCGCGAAGGTGGGTGTGTATGATTTCTTGTTTTTTCTTTTCCTTCTTTGGATTGTAGCTGCGTATTGCTGTGACTTTTGCTGGCGGTTGGCTATCCTTTTGCAAATAAGGAGGTGTGAGCCTTTACTTGAACAACCAGGCTGCCTGTGAACAGATTGTTCTTGTCTTCGTGGCAGACTTGGCGCAGCAGCAGTACAAGCAAAAGCAAAAATGTCGCGGTGTGTGTGAGGTTGTAGCCGCGCGCGCAGAAAGAACAGGACCCTTGGAGCACGAGCCTGTTGGCGATATGCGGTGTAGCCCGGTCGGGGTAGCAGTGGTTGTCGTGTTATTTTCAGTGGGGAACAATAACGGTGGCTGTCTTTGTCTGATGGTGTCCCGGACATGTGGGTTGGTTGGTAGGCAGCTGAAAGGATTGGATGGGATTGCATTGGCCACTTGCACCTCCTCCGATTTAACAATAAGAAGACAAAAAGAAGGCAATACCAGCTAAGCAATCCATTCATCACATAGGGGAGCAACTAGGCTGGTTTATAGGCTTGAACCAATATGCCTTGTAAACAAAACAGCGACAAACTCGTCACGTTGCACGCAGACAGAAACTTTCATATGTCATGTTGATGGGCTTGTGCTTAAGCTCTGTCCTAGCTTCAGCTTCGGCTTCGACCGTACGATAATGATCCCAGTCTCCTCCCCAGGCTCGATGCTCCATCTTACATCGAAGCCAAGAGAGTGTATCGACGCCGGCAAGAGGCTTCTGCGGCACATCTTGAAGATGTCTCTGAGTACCGAAACATCACTCGCTGTCTAGCACATGCTTCTTCTGTATTCGCCCTTCTCCGCACGGGTCTCGGATCCATCGCCTCTGCCCCAACACATTCCCCAGAGACCTCGAAAGTCGTAGTAGCACCATGCATCACATGTGAAGACGTCATCTAATTTCCGGCAGAAAACTGCCAAAACATGAATTGCAAGTTGCGCTGTTGTCGATGACAAGTCGCCCACACCAAATCTTGATACACGTTCCCAGCACTGGTGTTCAACCCCTCAGCCATAGACTGTCTCTTAAACAAAGGAAATGTGTGTGTGTCGCCATCTGTGATGGAAAATGGGGTACAAGAAGAGAAAATATGGCTTATGCACAGCCGTGAGAGAGATGGAGATAAAAAAAAAAAAAAGTACAAGAAGGGTATCGAATCTAGGAAAACGGAATCGTGTCAATCAGCGCCGAGTGTGGAAGCATCCACCACACAGGCAACCCCTTCTCAACCGCAGCCTCCCGCCTTTTTTCATTTGACATTATCAGTTATTCGTTTTGACGCGCCAAATGTCAATGTCCTGACCAAGTCACTGTAGCCGCGCCATGCGGCCCTACCGCTGTGTGGCTACCCAGATACCCCAAACATAGTGTTTGAACAAAAGAAGACCCCCCTCATGAACTTTCACCCATGCCCTCCAAAATCTTGCGCGCCGTGTCGAGGCGCCTCCTGTACATCCGGCTCTCTGCCGATGCCTTGCCAGACTCGCTCAGACCGAGGACGCAACGTCCCAGGCTTGCCACAAAGCGTTCGACCAAAATTTGGTCCTCCTTGGCGAGCTGATTCATAGGCGCAAGCTGGTCCGGTCCTCCAACGCTCTCCTTGTCGCAGATGCTGGCCGTCTCGCTCATGATAGCATCCGAAATGGTTCGCAGTTCCAGTTCGGGAGAGCCCTGTGGCGTGAGGACCCCACCAACACTGACACGGGCCTTGCCAACCAACGGGAAGCTTCGATTAGTCCCAGTTGAGTCGAAAGACGCAGTCGATGGCCGGTGACCCATCGTGGCCTGAGTGCTCATGGGGCGACGGTAAGCGATGGAGCCCGCGCGCGCCCGGGTTCGCATCTGTTCAAGCACATCGCCGCCGTTGACGCTACCCACAACAGATCGTTTGGCAGTTGGGGGGCTCTCTGTACGCTCACTGATAGGGCTCACACTTGGAGGTGTGAGAACGCCCTGTCTCACGTCTTCCTCATTACCACTGGCGCTCACTCGACTGGCTCGGCCTGAGTTGGCCGTCGCGAACGAATCCATGGTCGATGTCGTGTCGCCGCTGCCTCGCCTGTTGTGGAGCTTGGGCCGGATCGACTCGTCAGAGGTTATGGGTCCACGGGTAGTTTCGACAGAGTCCTCAGAACTGAAACTTCCGCGCCGGCTTCCCTGTCGAGCCATTCGTTGTTGGCTGATAGTGCCCATGGCGCTGTGAAGGAAGAAGTGCTCGTAGTCGAATGCATCCTCTCGGTCTTCATGTGACACAGGAGTTTGGTAGGTGTCGTGGTACAGAGAGTCTCCACTCTCGCTCTCATATCCGTCTTCTTCCTGTACCTGCACACTGTCCTCAAAGCCGTCCTCGGTATGCATATCGGAAATGTCATCGTCAGGCTCGACGTGGGCGTTCGCTTCCATGGCATCGAGGGCCTTCTGGCGCTCTTCTTGGCGAACCGCCTCTTGCGCCGCTTCGTAGTCTCCAACAACCGACTCATCATCCCTGATTGGAAGCTCCTCTGGGGTGTCCTCGAGGGTTTGCTCAATGGGTCCCTCAAGAGGCCCCTCGAGGATCGCCTCTGTCTCTTTCGTCTGTATCTCGCCGTTAACGCTAGGTGCGTGCTCTTCATGCCATGGAGCCAATTCCGACGTCGCAGTGAGTGGCTCTGTCGGAGACTGCTTTTGAGAACCGGCATACCATTGGTCAACCTGGGCATGAGTAAAGGGACTTGGGGTTCGCAAGCTCTGAAGGCTGCGTCGGCGCATGGTATCCACCCGTGCCTGTTCTCTCAATGATGAAATCTTGCCTTTAAGATCCAGCACTTGATCCTTCAGATCGCGCATTTGCGCTGCCGACGCAGAGCGTGTCAATGGTGGCTTCGTGGGGCCACCCAGAGCAGGACCTAGAAGACTGTCTCGCTTGGTGGTGCTGTCGCTTCCGGAATGGAATTCCGTGGATACCTCATCCTCACCTAGAGTGTCTAAGCCGTTTTCCTGAGCCGCCTTGTAACGCGGCTGATTGTCCCGCCCAGAGTTCAAGCGCTCAAGCGTAGGCGCATCATGGGTGATCTTGCGCGTAGGAATAGGCTGCCGGTAACCTCCAGCAGCACCCATTGCACTGGCAGACCTCCTCGGGACAGCACCAGAGTTCACCAACTCGGTGTTGATGGAGGAATCGCTCATCATTCGGGCGTGCCCATGCGCAGAGCTCGGGGATGTCGCGGAAGAGGTAGATCGCATCATTGGCGGGGACGGTGTGGAGCCGGTGCCGTCGAATGAAGACATTGAGGGTGTTGAGATGCTCAACGAGCTTCGTGCTCTCGACAGATTACCCTCCATCGTCTATGTGTGTTAGTCGAGCCCGATCAATGCTCGCGAGGGCACTTACAGTGAGTCTACGCTTGGCATTTGCAAGAATCTGCTCAGCCCTTCGGCTTATCAATGCGGTTGAGTACCTATTTGGATCATTAAGAGATGTCCTTGTAGGTTGAGAGATGGCATGGGCCTTGTGAACGGACACATCATCTGTGTACGACTCCGCGACGCTCTCCTCATCGTCGCCTTGGAAGTTACTATCATCTACGCTGACAGCGTCGTCAAAGTCGGCGAACACGTTGTGGTCTTGTGTAGTAGTAATCGTGCTCGTGGACTCGACCGAGGATCGTCGCTCGTGCGCGCGCGCCCGCTGCTTGATGCTCTCGTACGCTTTCGTCGGCGAGGGGAATCGCTCGTCGGGAATCCGGCTGACGCGCCCTGTCCAGATCATAGAGGATGGACGCGAGGTCTTACCCGGCGTGCTCTCGGCCTCAGTCACCTCCCCGATATCTGACAGCATGGTACCGTTGCCATAAATGATTGGTGTCGCGGGGGTAATGGGGCCGGCGACGTATGCACTCGGAGGGAATTGGAATTGCATGTTCAAGTCGACAGCTTGCGAGTTCTTCCACATCATCAGAGGCGAATGCGACCGGTCGGGGGAAGAAGGGCAATCATAGTCGGGAAGAATCATGTCCGGGTTTGTTAGAGTAGGAGAGGCGGGCTGCGGGGGGTACGACGAGGTGGAGCTTGAATGAGCATGGCCGCTGTGAGCGGGAGCGTGAATAGCTTGCGTCGCCATGGTTGCGGACTGGGTTGGCCAAGTTTTGCAAGCGATTCAGGTCCCGTGGTGTAGCCTCCCGCGCGTCGGTTTACCTGGATCGCGGGCGTTGATTGTCGTTACAGTGGCCGTGGAGTCGTGGGACGGGAAACGAGTCGGACGCCAACCAACAGGGCGGGCTGACTGTAATTAACCGACGAGTCCTTCCTTCGTGGCGCACGCAAGAAACTCAATGGAGTGATTATTCTTGGTATACGAACTCCGGATGAGACGAATGCATTTGAGCAAAGTTTCGGGCAAGGTTCAACCGATCCCCCAAAGTCCAGCCAGGTCCGTGGGCCGTCCGGTCGTGGATTCGGATGGAATAAGACTGATCGGGTTTCCGTTTCCTCGGGGTTAACTGCAGATGTCAAGTTTGCTGCAGTGCCAGCAGATGGAACTAAAAACGCTCCAAGCCCGTCGCGGAAGATGACGGGCAGACAGGCTCAAAGGCAACGTGCAGATGTCGAATAAAATGGGCGGAGATCGAGTCGTTTGGCAGGGCCAAGTAAGTAGGTCCGGGGCCCGATTTTAGATATGCGAAATAGTGGTGTCGTAGATATGCTGGGCGCTCCAGGTGGAAGGCGGATTAACGACGATAAGACCGTTTGCAGTAGCAAAGACGTCGTTCGTTGGGGGTTGGGGCGTATGCATGCGCAAAGCAAGCACAAACGAGCTGCCGGGTTCGGGGAGACGGCCGGATTGAGAAGCTTTCGGTGCTGCTCAGCGCTCGATCGAG